CCCCCCCCCCCCACACAGCAGTTCAACGGTTTTCATTTCTTTTCTTTTTTTTTTTTTCTATTATCGTTCATCTTATATTTTTTATTTCACCCCCCTCCGATCGCGTTACGCGAATTTGCGTTTCATATTATCTCGCGGTATACCGCAGCAGCTAAACGCGTCACCGTCGACGTTTTTCTGTTATTTTCTCATTCCCAGTTCCCGGATTGTTTGCGTACGATCAACACATTTCCATAGGTTCATTACACCAATATTGCATATCGGGTTTAACCGCGATCGATGTTCGCCCAGTCGTCGCTCTCGTAACCGCCACCACCAACAACACACTTCGTCGACGTCGTCTACAGCGAGCGTTATTATGTAATGGCACAACGCGCGCGCTCGCGTGTTACTCATAGTACATATATATATATATATATTTACTGTACTGTAATAAGTTCGTGTCAAACATCGATATTAATTAATATTTTTTTTTTTTTTTTGTACTTTACATTATGATCGTAAGAAGAATTTTTTTTGTATAAAAAAAGAAAAAAGAAAAGAACAGTTACTTTTGTGAAAAAAAAATGAAACGTTGTATCTATAGATAGTAAATAAATTATATTAATATTTAAACGTTTCGCGATGCGAATTTTTGAAATGTACTGTTTTTTCCGAACACACGTCTCCGAGTACCGCACCTAGCAAAGCCCACCGTGTCACGTCGGTCGTATAAGCTCAGCGGTTTCACGTGCGCTCCGACATTTCGATGCGCGTAAGAACTGGTATTCCAACACCGAACGAAAACGCGACACGGATTACGCAATCACGATGCTCACGCAACACGACGTTCGTTTTTTTCTTTGATTATTTTTTTTTATTTTTTTTTTTGTCACACGAAAACCGTGTATGTGTATGTGTGGCGATTTGTTCGGATCGACGTATTATTATTATTATAATAATTTTTTTTAACAGCGTTCCGTTTCGGTTTTCGGTTAACAACGGATAGAATGATGAAATTCATGAATAACGCATGACTCGCCGTTTCGACGGCTAAATTCTGAACAATATTTTCATATTTTCGACGAAAACGAAAAAAATCCGCGTTCTCTTTCGCGAAATCGACGCGGTATGTTTTCAGCACGATTTGTTTCCCATCGAAACGTTGCAAACCATTGACCATTATCGATATATCATAACCACATGAGACGTATAAGACATTATAATTGTTTTCGTAGAAATTTAATAACGGTTCAGTCTTATTATTTCTATAAAAAAAAAGTACTAATTAATGAAAAGTAAGTATGTATAATATCACTCGATCGCATAAAGTAGACTTATACAGATTTTTTCTCGAGAATATCACATAATTAGTTAGGCAACAGTAGTAAAGTTCAAAAGACAGCAGTCGATTGAAATCGGTCAAAATTACTAAACTAACTAAATAATAACTAAATATTTTTATTTATCGAAAGCTGAAATAATTGATAGTTAATTGAAGAAAAAAAAAAATTTAAAATACCACAAAAAAGTTCAGGACAACATCAGAGGTGTCGTAGCAGTGCCAGAATTTTCTCTCGAGATGGGCAAACCAAAAGCCAATATAGCTATGGTAAGCAATTAAAAACAATTTCTTTACATTTTATATAAAAATATTTTTTTTTCTTTGCTAAACATAAATTATGTAGCTTCATCAAAAAATAAATAAATAAAATAATAATAAAAAAATTAATTGTTTATATTCGACTGATATTGATATTAATAAATCATGATTTATTAATTCTTTACACTTTTAGTGAAGTATTATATTGAGTTAAACATATCGTATAATATTCAGTGCGCGTATATAACAGGTAAACGTATAGGTGCCATGTGTTTTCTAAGAAAACTAAAAAAAAAATGTCCGATTGTATTATAATTTAAACGTTCAGAATAGATAACAATAGAGTAATAATTACTAGAGACTAAAATTATTAAAATTATTTTTCCGTTCTTTGTTCGCTTTATCATATTGACGTACGTTGTATCGATAAAAATAATTGATTTCTAACGTAACGCACATACCTGCACGTACTTGAAAATGATGTTCGAATGCATTGTATGTACGTAAAACGATAACAGTGCACGGATTGGGTTATATTTTTCGTTCGCCGTTTTTCCCTTGCCATTAAAACGGATAACTGAACAGATATGCACGTGTTTACCACTGTGGTAGCTTTTATTCAAGTACAAAGATTTCTCGATGACAGTTCAAATAATTACACGATTGTAACGACTCGTCGAAGAGTGTACAGATATTATACAGTGCGTAACAGATGTGTACGAACATTTGTCACTTTTGTAACTTTTACTCGGTCAACCGATGAAATCGTCTGGTACGTTCGGAAACACACGATCGTGCACGTGTTCAGCGCGAATGCAAATCGAATACTATACGCACGCCTGGATGATAGGCGATGATAATTCGACGACAAGAGTCCACGTTTGGAACGATCGCGTCGAGTGTACTACACGAATTACCCGTTCATTAGAAACGCCCTAAACGTACACGGTGATCGTTTCAGATCCAACCGTTTATTTTCGTCCACGCGGACGATGTGTGCGTACACAATCCGGATTCCATCGAGGACGATCTGACGTGCAAAATATTTCGCTGCACCACCGTCAACAATACGGGCGGAGAGAACAGAAAAAACTAACTTTTGTTCAATAATATCCTCGGGATCATGAATTAATGTCGTTAAACATGACCGTATGATAATGTGTGTACGTCAATCGTGCAGGATCGAACTATTATAATAATATTTGCCCAATTTTATTGGAAAATCAAATGCGTATCGCGAGCGTCAATGCTGCAGTGATTCGGCGGCATTTTTATTCCGACCATATTTGTCCACCGTTGATTAATTTGTATAAATTATTAAACTTACACGCACACACAACATAGACTGTACATGTATTGTTGTTTAACTCGATTAACGCTGAGTGCCTGATTAGGGTAACCGTGTTCGGGTCTCGTCGAGTGGAGCCTGTGATCTAAATAGATCGTAGATAGTCCTAAGTCTATTAAAATGGGAAGGAAAATGTTAGTATAATATAGTACTTACCAAAAAATATTCAGGAACTAGTGTAGTACCTATAAAAATCCAGGACCCAACTAGTATAGTACCTAAAATTATTCGGGACCAAATTCGGATGCAGCCTCTTTGAGACGTTCCAATAATTCCAGGACGGATCGTATGGAAACACTCAATTTCATAATAAAAATTATAGTTATTTGTCTTAGACCAAACATTTATTTATTTATTTAGGCTACGTTGAAAAAATAATACTTTTAATCTGTTGCGGAGTACTCGGACGGCCATACTTTTCAGAAGATTTAGATTTTTTCAACAGTTTTCTGTTCCCTTCAACACGTTTATAAAAATGTGCGATGCTAGTCATGTACATAATCGATTTGACCCTGTAAAATAGATTCCGTAGTCTCAGGTGATTATATTCATCAGTCCACTAAGTTGTAGTTAAGTTGTACAAGTTTAAAAACTTAATTCTCAATTTCCGATCGCATATTCGTGTGTGATAAATCAGAATATGTGAGATTTACTACGAATAGTTTCGACCGGAACGTTTTAATCTTTTGTCAGGACACGGAGCTCGATAATGGTGACAATCCCGACATTTCGGAACAGATGGCAACTCTACTATCTGCACGGTATGGCCTTTTGGCGGTGCGCACTAGAGGCCATAATATAAATATTGCGAGTTGGTCATGGGTGAGATCGTAGTGTTTTTCTTTGGTCATTTCTAACCTTTCTAATCTTTCCAACCTTTAGCGCCAAGAGTGAAACGAAACACTACACTTCTTCGTAATTCAGCACCCGTTGTCGGCGTGCGTTGCAGCAGTACAAACATTTAAACTCGACGCGTTTAGATTCCGTAATTGTGACGTGAAAACGATGTAAGTACCTGCGTACCAAGTACCTACGAAGTAATATCACTCTCGTGGTGAGCGCACAAACTTTTCCGAACAAACGGATTTAACGATGTGCACTGCTCGTTCTGTTATTTCCACTCGCGCCTAATGGTCTGTGCGATCACGGTTTCCACGGCGTTTTCAACATTAACGCGATAACGACGTTCTCGCTTGCGATCTTTATTGAACACATTTCGCGATGCGGGGCATGTGTAAATCGAAACGTTGGATTTTATACGCCCACACCGATCGCTGTACAACAATACACGCGTGTTGATATGCACCTATTTTGTTTTTATCATTTTTTTTATCATTATTTTTAATTATTATTGTTCTTACTGCCGCCCAACGTAACGTCTGTCCGACTGCGATCGGAAAACGGTATTCGTATGCAGAACGCGATCGTTCCACATCTCTCCATTGTCACAATCCGATTGCTGATTCCGAACGGCGCTCCGGTGATATTGACCTGTGTTGATGTTTTTATCGGTTTCCCTTGATCCATTTGCAGGCCATCGCATTTGCAGTCGTGTGCGCGCGCGTGCGACCGGGAGTCAATGAACCGACTGAAAAACTAACGATCTGTACGCGGCATTTTGCTGTCGAAACAGCAGCTATGTATATAGCTCATAAGCCCATATCCCATGTACATATCATAAGTACACGTTTTCGGCCAAAGGACGATGGTGGGGCTAGGAACTTGTCGGAACGTGACGCATGACGAAGACCCCGCGCGCGATTCGTTCTTCGACAAGTAAGTTTTAACGAAAACAGTACGACCACGAAATCGTATACATGTGTGTATTTATTAAGTATTGTTTTAATCGTACAACAATTTGAATTGTTATTCGGACTCGCATGGCATTGGTGTCGAGCCAATATTGTACTGCTGCACGAGTGTGTGTAAACGATATTTTTTTGGTCTCGGGCAATCTCGGTTCGTTCAATCGTTGCCATGCGGTGTTTCTTATAC